TGGCCTCAAACTCACAGCAATCCTCTTGCCTAAGCCTCCTGAATGCTGGGATTACAGCTGTGTACCACCATGCCTGTCAGGTTCTTAGATTTTTTAATGTTGATATCATCTGGGAGTAAAAATCTCAAGCCATAGGCCAGACTGTTGAATCACAGCCTACATTTTATAGATGATAACCCAGATGATAATTATGCATATCAGAAATTGAAAAATACTCTAACCATTTTCTGGAATTGTACCTCATTGGATTAAAGGAAAGTTGTAGAGTATTAAAGTTAAGGTAATTTACTGATCACACATTAATAGTTGAAAACTGTTAAATGTACCAGTAGCTTTTTCATGTAAGTAGAGAGAAGAAAAATGTACAGAGAAGCAGAAGTCTATTTTTTGTAGGTAATCACATTGAACCAAATTTTCCCATAATATAAACCCCCCTGAGGTTCATTTTGTTTTGTGTACGTTGCTTCTTGAGTAGAGTTTCAGTTGCTTAATGTAAACTGAAATTATATGAGAGACACAAATGAAGGTCTCCCTGGAGTTCATAGTCTAAGAACATATGTGAGGTCAGCCTAGAAGATAGAAATTACTTTCACATCATTTTATCATTATAATGTTAGAGAAATTTCTATCTCTGCTCAACATTTTCAGATGCTTTAGTGTTACATTTTACCATGGAGAACTATTTATGTGCAACATTTTTAGAGGGCTTTCAAATTAAAGTAGGATAATTAACAAAAATAGCAAGGATTATAGGACAGCCTAATATAGATCTAGTGTAAGTGATACATTTAGTGTTTTCCTCAGAAAGTACACTTCGTATTAAAATCAAATTTTATTTTATAATTTTAACAAAAATGCAGTTGTAACTGAACAGTTGCTGTTGCCCAGTGTGGTGGTGCACACCTGCAATCCCAGTACTCAGGAGGCTGAGGCAGGAGGATCACTGTGAGTTGGAGGCCAGGCTGGGCTACAAAGTGAGTTCAAGCCAGCCTGAAGTGCGTAGCAGGGGATGGAGGGGCACAGACGGGCAGACTAAGTCATTGTTAATTGTGATGGGAGGAAAGCAGGCATGCTTTTAATTTTGTATTGTGTTGAATATATTAATCCCTTCTCATTCTTTCACACTCATTAGGATTCACTTATGATTTGCAGTCCAATACTGTACTGGCCCAAGGAGGAATTTTTGAGCACATGAAAGAGACGGTAAGACTAGTTACTGTAAACAACAAACTTGATTGTCATATGAAAACATAGGAACTAATCAGAAGTTATTATAAACTCATTATGAACCAGGGGTACAGTGGTGCACACCTATAATCCTAGCACTCAGGAGGCTGAGGTGGGAAGATTACCAAAAGTTTGAAGCCAACCCGGACTACATAACAAGACCTTGTCTCAAAAAACACAAAACAACAAAAACAAAACTTCATTATGAAAGTGGAATTTTTAGAAACTAGAACAGAATGCCGCTGTGTGTGAGAGGGTGAGACTACCATGCTGGTTCTTTATATATATTCATTCAAAATTCTGTTGAAGATGTATATTAATTCATTACTGTCATAACAAATATTATAGTGACTATATATCTCATTTGGCAGCATCCTTAAGGAACAACCTAGTTCACTGGATCCTCCCAGTCACTTTAGGAGCATTCTTTTTTATTTTTATTTTTATTTTTGTTCTTTTGAGGCAGCCCTGGCAGAAGCCTGCACACAGGGGAGGAGGTGGTGCCCGGGCCCCAGCTCAGGCCCACATGGGAATTGCTGGCACTGGGCTGAGATGGAGGGATGGAGGACACAAAGTGTCTGCTCCTTACAGACCAGGTGGCCAAGGCCTTGCCCAGGCAGAAGTCCATAGGGCAGCTTGGGGCCACTCTGGGTGCAGGCTGTCCACTCTCCCTTTTCTCCTTGCTGAGGGAAAGTAGGAGTCTGGGGTGGCGCAGCAGCTGCCTTGTCCTGCCCCGTCCCATCTTTGGCCATCAGAATTGCTTTGAAGTCTGCTTGAAGGTATGTGACAGTCTTTGTGATGTTGGCAGTGTCCTTGCAGCCATCAGTGTCACTGTGGGACTGGCCTGTCATGGCTGGGAGTGAATTCTTGGGCCATAGCCCATGATGAAGCCGAAAGCCTTTTCCAGATGAATCCACTGCTTGAAGAATTCCACCACTGGCAAGCCCACGTACTGGCACTGGCCAGCCCACGTACTGGCACTGGCCTAGGAGCATGACTTTTAAACTTGTTTGATCTGAGAGACCTTCCTTTGCAGTCCACACATTGGGCCTCTCTAGTACTTGCTGCAGGCATGGCTCACCATCCACCAGGACTTGAATAATCTTGGTGAGCGCTGTACAGAGGGGGTAAGCTGTGGATGGACTACAGGCTGCATGTACATGTAACAGGTAGACTCAGTCTCTATGATCCAGGCATTTAGCTTAAGGATGGGGAACTCAGTGGTTTCCCCATGCACTCTGGTCCCAATTGATGTGGCCTCTCCTGACTTCTAAGTATACTCTTACTATTTATGGTTTTTATTGTTGTTGTTTGTGGTTCTGTCTATAGTGACAGGTCCCCAGAAGGAGGTGCCCGCAGATGATAAGAAAAAGTAAGAGAGATAAGAAGAACAAGAGAGACAAAGGTCTGGGATTGGGGGCTTACAGCTTCTTGGACTGCAGCCCCGATTACCAATCTCAGTAACCTTTTATTGAGCAAGAACCAATGGCGTAGCTAGTACAAATGGGCGGATACCAAACATTTTAGTAATTAAAGCATTATCCTTCTCCAATTCTGCCTCTTATGCTGCTGGCAACAGTCCCCTGGTGGGCCTCCTACACCCAGCACTATGCTTACTCAGTTCAGCTGGGGGTTATAAGTTGACCACTAGTTATCAATCCACTACAATCACAGTCCTTACTTCCCATTAATTTTTAAAAATGCATGGCAAGACTAAAAAATAGGGATCTCCTGCAATTCAAATACACTCTTCAGGGTTTCAGTTCATTTTTGCAACAATAAACAAATCATTGTGTGTCCTCAGTGCTTTCTAATCAAAGAATGTCCTTCTCCACAGTTGTTGGTTTTTTGGGGGGGACAGGGTTTTGCTATGTAGCCCAGGCTGGCCTTGAAGTCTCAGCAATCCTCTTGCCTCAGCCTCCCAAATGCTGGGATTATAGTCATGCACCACCACACCTTGCCCTTACTATATACTGTACATGTTGAGACTAAACAGAATTGTGGGCTGGGATGCATGTCACTGGTATGCAGCTTGCCTACTATGCACAAGGCCCTGGGTTTGATCCCAATGTAACAATTTTATTCAATGGTTTTATCATTAGCAATAATATTATATTGTAGTATTCTTAGTAGAAACCTGGTGAATAATATATGGGAAAGGAAATCAGTATGTAATTTAATGCTTTAGAAGCTAAAACTTTATGTTTAAAGGAGATCTGTGTTTAAAATCAGATGAACTGGGCATGGTGGCGCACACTGGTCATCCCAGCACTCAGAATACTGAGGCAGGATTGCAGTGAGTTTGAGGCCAGCCTGCACTACACAGTGTGACCCTGCCTCAAAAAACAAAAACAAAACTCCAATGAAATAAGACCTTGTAACATATTGAAATTGAGGGTGTCAGCATGAATTCATGACTTAACAGAAAAAGTCTCCTAATTATATCCCCTGAAAGGCTCCAGAAAGTGACTCCCTAGCAGCAGTAAGCATGTCTGACACCGTAGGCCTTAGTTCCTAGCTACCATTTTCCACCAAAGGGAACCAAGGCTTTTTTTCAGAATAAACAATTACACATCATACAGTAAGACAAGGAATAAAACTATGAGTTGAAAAAGAAGAAAAAAAGCTGTTATTTGTAGACAAGGAGAAAAATCCATGAAAGCAGCAAATTAATAGGACTAATAATTCATCAGGGTTACTAGACATGAGATATATGAAATGAAAATTATATACAGTTATTATAAACTGTTATTATTACCTTTATATTATATAATTATACCTGTATATTATTACCTTTTTTAGTGGATGTTTTTTCTTGGTACTGGGGATTGAACCCAAGGGATTTGCACCAAGCTACACCCTCAGCCCTTCTTTATTTATTATTTTGAGACAAGGTCTTCCAAAGTTGTTCAGGATGAGCTCATACTTACAGCCCTCCTGATTTTGGTCCCCCAAAGTGCTGAGATTCTTGGGATGTACCACTACTCCCATCGTAAACATTAAATGTTTAATTTAAAGAGATTTAAAATATCTTAAGAAGAACTCGACAGAACTGGTTTATTGACTTTAGAGGACAAGATGGCATCACCTCATGAAGTGGTAGTGCCCTGCTGTTTAGCATTCTACTAGTGGTTGTACAGAAAATCCAATTTTTTTAATTGCTTGAAGTGTTCTAAATATTGTTTTAGACACTAATAATTCAGCAGCAAAAAAATACAACATCCAGTACAGCATTGTTCCCAAAAGCCACACATTATAAACAGTCTTAATTGTCCATCAACAGAAGAAACAATGAGTATATCATTGTTTTAAAATCAGATGAATATTTTAGTGGAAATATTTTGCCACTTAAATGAATGAGAAATGTATTTATCAACATGGAAAAGGCTGGGCATGGTGGCATATACCGGTAATGCCAGTACTCAGAAGGCTGAAGCAGGAAGAACACTGCAAGTACAAGGCCTGAATTAAAATAGCGAGACCCTGTCTCAAAAAAAAAGTCAACATGGAGGGGCTGGGGATTTAGCTTAGCGGCACAGCACCTGCCTGGCAAATGCAATGTTGTGAGTTCGATTCCTAGTACCAGAAAAAACCAAACACCAAAAAAAAGTCAACATGGAAAATATTCTTAAAACGTTATGTGTTGCTCTCTCCCTTTGCTTGCTTTTGCTGTCTTCTGTCATCGT